GAGTGGTCAATAAATAAGATGTGACAGATCGGATAATTAACAAGAAAGTAATGGGCGGGACCACAGACCGGCGCAGGAGGCCTCACCCAACCAAATCCAATACTTACATTGAATGATCTGGGTAAGGGATAAGAATACAACAGTAATCTCGGATTTGAGACGCATCTAGATTTCGGAACGAAATCGAGAAGAGTCAGATATTCCAGAAAGGATGTTGGAAAATGACCCCACCTAGTTCAGTCCCCCTTTTCTCTCCCGAAATACGCCGGAGCAGAGAAGAAGGGGTATATTTGAGACCATCCCACCCGCCCTACACAATGCTTACTATATTCATGAACTTGCTGATCATTCAAACACTTTGGGCCTGGGTACACCCAGCCCAAAGGGTTACTTGTGGCGAGGCCCTCCTGCAGGCGCAGGAGGCCTCACCCAACCAAATCCAATACTTACATTGAATGATCTGGGTAAGGGATAAGAATACAACAGTAACTTCGGCAATTATGCCGCTTTATTCTGGGCACCGCATTCGAACAACCAGTTCACAGACCAACACACAATAGCCGGGAGCCTGGGAGCTGCAGCTGGCGCATTCCACACGCCCACAGCAGGATAGAACCAGCAGAGACCTCTCCGGTCTCTGTGTGCGCAAGTTTCGCAACGTGAACGCACACTGAGTGTCGATATCGAGCACGCAGCACAAGCACCAAGAAGGCTAGCTCAGAAACAGCGAGGAGGGAGATCAGACACACACGCACACGCGCATATTTTATGTCGACCGACGGCAGTAGTACCCACACCCAAGGACCGGTGCTGTTTCTATGGCGTCTGCACTCAAGTAACATGATGATGATGATGACGATGCTTAGACATCTCGGCATCTATCTGTTGATTATTGTATGCGCTCTTCTTTTTCGCTCTCTTGACTCCATCTGGGGTTGTTTGGAATAAATGACCCAAAGCAACCATCAATCATCTCGTTGGTATGTTGAACAACCCGCATGCTAGTATATCTGCACTCTCTGGTTTCTTTCTTTGCTGCCGCGATGACTCTGCTCTGGTGTCTTCTTTCCTTCATTTATTCATTGAGGTGCAATATTTTGAAAGCGTGCGGCCCGCTGATAGATGGGTTCCACACACGTATTGGCGGGCTTCGCCCGCGTGATTAAACTCCAAAACCTCTATCCCGGTACAATAAAAATTGCCAGCAATAACAATAGCATCATTACCACTAATAGCAGTGCGGTGCTCATGTTCGCCCTGAACAGCAGAGGTCATCCCATCTCCATGAGCATCCTGCGCTCCCCCAATTTTGTTGGGCATTGACACGCTGGCACTCTCCAGCACATGCACCATATCACAGTACCCCAACTCCTTGAGGATCGGCATGGACGGGAGGGCGCTGTTGATGGCCAGCACCTTGGGGATATTGGGGTTCATTCCCAGGCTTGGTTTGAGAGACGCCGTGTAGAAGAGGGAAACAAACAAGGAACAACAAAAATCCGTGTATGGAAGTTCAGCCACGGGAAGGGAGGGAGGCCCTTGCAGTGGCTGAAGTTCCTCGCACGGGGTTTGTCGTCCCCTGTTTGTTCCCCCTTTCTGCGCGGCGTCTCTTGTTATTTGCAAACCATGCTTCGGAATGCACCCAAACATTCCCATGGTGCTGGTGGTCGGCAGCGCCTTGCCGACCATACCGATCATGTTGGAGCTCGGGTTTTGCGACATGATCACTGTCATGGAGAGTGTCCACGTCTCCATGCCTAACGAATTTGGGTGAGGGAGGGCAGCGGGGAATGGAGATCTGACACCAGAGCAGAGGTGCCGTCACCGCGGCAGCAAAGAAATCACCGTGCAGATATGCTGCCAGGCGGGATTACCAACGAGATGATTGATGGTAATTGCTCTGGAGCGTTTATTCCAAAGAGCCCCGAATAGATGGAGTCGAGATGGCGAAAACAGGAAATAAGTTATCTGATGCAGAGATACCAGAGCATCGTCTTCAATACGTTACTTGAAGTGGTCTGTCTGGCAAAGGGGACCGGCGTGCAGACGATATAGAAACGTGCACGTGTCCCTGTGTGGGGCTACTAATACTACGCTGTAGGTCGACATAAATATGCGCGTGTGCGTGGTGTGTGTGTGATCTCCCTCTTCGCTCTTTCTAGACCCTTCTTGGTGCTGTGTTGCGTGCTTGTGATCGACCCTCAGTGTGGGTTGGCGTTGCGAAACTTCGTTCACACAGAGACCAGAGTGGTCTCTGCTGGTTCTGTCCTGCTGGTATCGTGTGGTATGCACCAGTTGACCTCTCAGGCTTCCGGCTGATGTGTGTTGGTCTGTGAACTGGTTGGTCCGAATGGGGTGCCCAGAAAGCGGCGTAGTCTAATTGCCATATCTACTCGAAAGTAAAAGACGCCAAGTAGGCACTAACTTAAATGGAGACAGCTGATCGACAGACCCCAAGTTAAAATCTGTCCCGGTGGCTTTTTTTGCTGCGGATCGGTCCTTGTGCCGCAGCTTTGACTTGTGCCTGGTGAGCGGTATGTACTCTTCGAGCGATGTTGTCTGACAAGGGGTGGTCATCGCCAACACGAGAAACAGGTTTCCCACGCACGCATGCTGTGCTTGCCAAAAGGCGTGGCTTGCTTTGTGTTCGTTCCTAGTGGTGACACGCCCAAACACTAGCCATTCGAGAGGATAAATGGATAAAACCACGGGACGAGATGTAGGTAAGGATAAAAAAGGCAATACACTAGCTAAACAACAGCTGTCTGACGATGTAATATCGCTCAGGTGCCGGCATGAATCATGAAAAAACGTGCACAAGACCATGTGTGCCTTTTCGTAGTATTTCAACTCCGAGAGCTCTTTCGATCTTTCGATCTTTCCTCTTCATCTTACGAAACAAAAACAAATCTGACCAAACAAAGCGCACATCCTGAAAACTATAACACAGACGAAGAGCGTAACTATGGTCCCACCAACTTGTGTTGATCCTCGCTATTCTCAAATCAACGGGCCGTCATAAAAAACACAATGCTTGTATTTCTCGAGCAAAGCAACTCGCTACCGAACACATATCGGAGGCCGCATATTTTATCGTGCGTCTTATGTTGGGCTGTTCTTCCTCGCACGTGTGTGGTGAAGACGATACTCTCTCGACCCCTGCGCCATAAAAGCAACACGTTCCTGGCCATGCGACATACACACCAGAACACCCTCATCTTGTAGGCGAACCTTTTTATCACTGGTCTTCTCCTCTTGTAGACGAAACTACTTATCACTGGCCTTGTGAGTAGGGAGTCGTCTTGAGCACCACCAAACTACATACGGAAAGGCAAACAGGCGGTGGAAAGAAGGTCTGCGCCACGTTCAGCCAATAAAAAACAGCTAGCGGTCAGCACCAGGCACAAATCACCCACTCCACGTGTACACCCTCACCCCCGCGCTCGCTACGTCTCATTGTGTGCGCGGACACTTCTGCACGCAGAGACGTGCGCGAACTTGCCGTTTTTCTGTTCTACAAGACAACCAATAGAGACGTGCGACGTGCGCGAACTTGCGGTTTGTCTGAACTACAAGACAACCTAACGTTCCACGGCGACGGCAATCGATAGGAAACAGAGGGGAACTTTGCCCACGCACGCACTTGAGCTTCACAACGGGCGGGACCACTTTCTACCAGCATTGATCTAAACTTTCTATTGTTCTTTTACGTTTCTCTTGCAACACGTGTACAGTTTCGTGTACGAGCCCCATCGTTTGTAGGGTTGGACGACCCGTTCCAAATTGAAACACGAAGTAGGTACAATCGCCAATTCAGCGGGCTATTCATGCCCTTGAAGTACACGTTTTCTGGGAAGCATTTCAACAGAAAGCGTGGGTATGCTCCGCCAGCCCAGCGCATCCCCCTTCCGTCATCGGTACCAGGGGATCAACGAAACACAACAACTAATGCTGCGCTTGCGCTTTTCCTTCGACCCGCCCTTCGCATACACAGCACGCCGACGCGGTGCAGCTCGCCATACAGCGGAGGGCTAGAGTATCCGGCGTGGTTGAGGAGACAACCAATATATAAAACAATCATCGTCGGCATATTGATGCATGTACACTGCCTCCACACTCGAAAAAGTAGCTTCATGCTTGGTTTCGTCACACGCCAATGGTCAGCATGGCCTGAGTATCCTGCACGCCGTCCTCGGTAAACGTCTAGTGGCGGCCTCGAGGGGTAGGAGTGGCAGAACCAGCACCCATGTCGTCTGCTTCCGAAATTCGCCGGGTGCAGGACAACAGGGGGCCATTCGCGGCCTGGCCGAAGAAGCCCAGGACGATGATGACTTGGATGAGGCCGAACACGAAAGCGGTTATGCCCAAGCCATAGGTGTCCCCGGTTTTGGCCATGAAGGCATCGCCACCATAGCGGTTGTCTGTTGTGCATGGCCATGTAAGGGGAAGGGAAGGGGAAGGGGGGGGTCATCGTGTAGTCCCGTGTGCAGCACACAACAATAAAGACGGAAGAGGGCAATCTCTATTCCGGTGTGTCGGCTGTACACATTTTGCGTGCATAACTGGCCTTATTTCTCGAGGAATTGTTGGCACAAGCAAGAAAGGGGGTCTCTGCTTCAAGCACGTGAAACTAGGGTCCCGGAAACCTCACAGACGTGCAAGCTTGCTACCCAACATCCAACACCATTTTGATCAGGATTTGCCCCAAGAAGACGGTTTCGGTATGTTTTGTCCAATTGCATAGCTAGCGTTCTTGCTCCCACCCAATGTCTTGTTGTAAAGCAGGCGTCCTTAGCTCGGTGTATTCGACTCTCCTTGGTAGTAAAACCAACCGAATGTAGTCTAGATGGGCGTGATCAAGTTGCCCATCACACCTCGACAACCTGTTGACGGTGCTTTACCGCCGCAAGAACCGGCTTGAAAGTTCCCATATATTGTTCCGTGTACTCCGTTCTTCTCGTTCAAGGCCACTGCTGCACAACACGGGAGTCCGAAACGCTCTTACACTCACATTCTTGGATGCTCTTGACGAGGAACAGAATTGACACCATCTGGCAGAATGTGAATAGGGCCATGAACACCCCGCCGACCAATCCAAGGCCCTTGGAGGAGCCGTACCTAGCTTGGGACGGCCGAAAAAAGGAGACCGTGAAAAGCAGCACGGCCACGGAGCACATGACGGTAGCTGCTTTCTGCGCCGCCGCGAAGTTCCTGTCTGCAACGGTGGCCGTGTGTTGGACCGCCGGGCACCAGCAACACGCAAATGAGGACGAAAAACGGGTGGCACATGCGAACTAGTTATTTTTGTCCCTGGTAGCCACAACGCTCATCATGATCCCGGCAGTACCGATAAACTGCTCTTTAATACCACTGGTGCTACTATTGCCACTACTTGTGCTGGTGTTTCGGCCCTCCACCGCCTGTGTCATCAAGCAATAAGCAAGAGGAACCACGCGAGGGCCAGATGTGCATCCTACTAAATATTCCGTGACAGACAGTGCCTCGAGGACCTGGGAGAGGATATCATCAGAACCAAAACGAAATGTATTCCTTGGGACGGATTTTTGCTTTACTTCGAACACTTAGTGCTAAACGTTCCGCAAGCGAAGCGTAGAAGAACGTTCCCATGCCTCCAACGCCTGTACTCGATTTCTGACTAAAACCAAACACTCGTACAAATTAGCCCGCCTCCGCTCTCGCAAGAGTAGAAAGTGAAGATTCTGCAAGCACATGAAAACCAACACCTTGTTCTCTCATGAGACGACTTCGCCGGTCCCAGTGATTGAAGCTATACCCCTGTGCTCGGGAAGCGAGAGAAGAGGGTTTGTGTCTAGCCAGGAGCCAACGCCTCCCGAAAAGCAGGATAGAAGAAGAAATCCAATTGACAATGTTGAATCACCCACTGTCAGAGAACAAGGTACTTTTACCCAGCAAAAATATCGCACCAAAAATGCCGAGAAACCCCCTAGAACCTCCTAAACGACAACCCGTACATGCAGTGAATCCACGCACTTTTTCCTCGCGAGGAACCTCGCGAGGCTACACAATGAGGTATTCTCCCCGCGGTCACACAACCAAATGCGTACAACGGTACTTAGTCTAAAAGCGACTCACGAGCTGTGCAAAAGGAGTCGTTAACGTCTCCCTCGTCGCAGGCGAACCCGGTGGCCACGCCGTACCCGTCCCCCGCGGGCAGCTCTCCCCAGTTCTCGTCTCCGGCAGCCGGAGTCGTCAAGACCCACACGACCCAGCCAAAACCACAGCCGAACCAATACACTTTACGGCATGTCGGGTGAACCGGTGGCTGCTTTGGGCAGGTACGTTTGGTTGGGACGTGGGAGGTAGAGGAGAGGAAGAAGGTGCAGGGGAAGGGTCGTGTTGTTCTCAAGGGCGTCCAACATCCACGATGCTGGATAGTTGCTTTTCGAACATAGCGAGGATAAATCTCGCTGTGTGACCCGGTGGGTGCGTCAAACATACACAGCACAGTGTATGATGACTGGGAGATAGGATAGGTGGCACGGAGAACAAAAGACAAACGAGAGGAACTCACAAGGTTTGGTCAAAGTGCTTTCAACAACTCGTCAATGAGCTGGAAACAGAAATGAAGGTATTGAAAACGTGAAGTAGTGTATTTGCTCGTGACGTTGCAGCACCGTTGATTGATATATACCTTTTCTAGGTAATAAGGGAGTATGAAAAACGTTCTGAAGTAGTATATTACTCACGACGTTGCACCACCGTTGATTGATATATTCATTTTCTAGGTAATAGTGAACGCCAGCATGTCGTCGCCTCTTGGCAGTCCTCTTTGGTTGTGTTTGAACTCTCGGAAATGTTCCCCCAAGCACGCCGGCAGACACGCTTCTTTCACGAACAGTCGGACCGTCCGGAGGAGGAACGAAAGGGTATGAGAGAACTGCTTGCACTGAGTAGTCTATATCTCTGCGAATCTATAAATTGGAGCCTCTGCATGTGTATACTACGTGCACTGCACAAATCCCTCCCGTGTATTGTAAGAATGACTCAATGCTCGACTCTTTCGTGCGCACAAACAAAGGGTGTGTCGCGGAAACTGCAACGTCTTGCACCACCTGGAGCATCGGCATGACATCTTCCTGTTGACGACTTTGCACAGATGCGCATGTAGTCTACATTATATTTCTGGCATTGATCATGGACACACTGGAATATCCTGCACCAGTGACCTGCGGTGCACGAGAGCTTGGTCCCGTCAGCGCGGAAATGTGGCTTCAAGTAGTTATGTGTTCATTTTGGGGCGCATACTTGTCGTTCCACTCGCATCCGTATGATCCATGGTGCCCGAACTTCCTCTGTCCGTTTGAGCGCCATATTTGTATTTCAGTCCGGATGCAAGCATAGTACCTATCTACACGTGTACGGAGTAGGTGGATTGCGGGCTGCGTTGTGCGTGAATCAATGCGAGGGTTGTACCAAAGTGTATGGTACATGCCACCAGACACCTGTCACAGCAAGAAAACAGGCACAAGGGACGTCAAGCAGCGACTCACCTCAGGTTTCAAGTAAAGGCTGTCATCGCCGTAATCCCCCATCATGCGTTTAGCTTCCAGTCCTGAGGGATGTTGGTCCTCGATGTTTGTAGGTTGTACACTCTGGCGCGCTTGCGACGAGCTCGCGAGGGGGGTGCAATGGGACGCCTCTCTTCGCTGAATCTTTTTGAATAGCAGAGGTCTGGCCGCATTCGGTGCCGAACCGGCACTTTTACGCGCTGGCGAACCAAATTTTTCAGTCCAGCGATCCAGCGACGAGCCACGAACGAACCGAGCACCGAGCCACCACCGAGCACCGAGCCACCAATGTGCGGGAAACGCCATGCTACAGTCGTACTCTCCTAGTTGCTACAGTCAACAACGCATGCCGGTCCCCTTGAACACGAACCTTCCATCACCCAGTGTTTCGTGTGTGTGCGTACTCCGTCCAGAAGCTGCATCACAAATAAGAATAATGATGATGTCCCAGTCCGCATCAAGGTTGAGAGGTAATCATCGCTGTAGAGCTGTGACGACGGGCCAGAGACCGTTTCTTCTTCTTCCCACGTCCAACCCCAAATCCTTACTTTTTTTGTCCTCATGGGGAGTTCCGTATTGTGAGACTTCATATTCTCCGTTTCTTACTATTAATATTGTCCATCAGATGGACTCATTCTTACGAGATACCATTCTTTAATATTACGAGCGGGCTGGATCATCTGCTCGCCGCCGTCTTTGCGTGGTCACAACGCACTCCCAGGCACAGGCAACACTGAACAAAGGGAGCGCATGTAGACTATGCATACTGCTTGCCGCCACAGGCCCGCTGCTTGTATGTGAACACGGACTGGAATAGAGTGTAAGCAGTCGGTGTATCGTGCAAGATATACCCGCCCAGATGGCATCTTAGGCGAAAGGCTCAAATCACCATAACACATTTACTACTCCGACTACGGCAGTAACCTGGTACATCGTGTGTTCCTCTTTCGCAAAATAAGATTGATGTCGGGAAAATTACACTCTGGTACAGACCATGATTTCAATGCTATCTGCAGCATATCGATATACGTCCAAGTGAAACTTTTCGAAAGCTAGTCCACGTCGACTCACAGCAGCCCAAAAAGGTATCCAACCAAGCGTATCTACCCCACTGACGTGACGCTGGTGACATAGAACCTGACTTGGTCGTGAGGCTCGACGAGACTCGGTGCCAAATCCATGTGAACTTCGCACTGGCAAGTCGTTCATTTGCACCACACTTTTCTCTCGTAAAACGCATGCATGCATACGTGGTAGGTATTACTCCGCCCGAAACTTGCCTACGTGTGGTGGTTGCTCTCCCTTTCTCCTTTGCAGAACAGGTGTACATAATTTTCTTCCCGACGGTCGGTGAAACGCCTCTCGATCGAAAGGATAAATACAATGCGTGTAGTCTACCAGGTGAACACACATATCACTGACAACGCGTGCTCCCTCGCTTTCACGACCTGAAAAACAATCAAGGACCCCGCTTGGTTTACTTTCACCACTTGCTTTCTGCGGCAGTGTTGAAAGCATCTGGGGTTCCCCTCCGTATTCCGGCTGTCTCTCCCACACCAGCAACAGTGCACGTCTGGCGTGCACTACCGCCTTCCGCGCTTGCTGTCGGCCCTGCCGAAGGATCGACCACGCCCCCTCTCCCTGCGTGTTGGTGCCACCCGGTCTTAGCTTCCTCCTCCCCCACTGAAGATGATGTCACCACCAAGCCGTTGTCGCGCCCCTTGCGGTGAGCGACCATCATGCCCTTGAACTCGGCGAAGTCTCCCACGGCCATGAGGATATCGCTCACGTCGTCGACCACTTCGCCTGCGGCGGTTCCATGCAAAACGTTCGGGGCTGAAAAAACACATTCTCTGTGGAGGTGACCTTTCATTTTTTTTCTTGCCTACAGCGAACAAGAGAAGGGGCTTGTAACAAGGGGGGGGGTAAGTGTGAAGGTGACCTTTGAGAAGGCCTCATCTACCCCAACGGCAATTCATGCAGAATAACCCTCCACTCTGGCCAACCCCCCCTTCAAATTTCCGGGATGAACAGGAAAACAAGTCTGATGCAAGAATTCACGTGCAAGAACTACATGCGTTTATTTTTCTGGTGCGGTTGCGTGAGAGAATGCCACCCGAAACTACTTGAGCTGTTTAGCCCGACACAGGCAGTGACTCCACTTCCAGCGTGATCTAGGTCGCCAAACTTACAACGTAACGTACGCGGCTTTCCAGATACATGCAGCCCCTTCCTTCTCACCCTGGCGCTCGGCCACCATTTTCATGAACGTCTCCATTTCGAAGCCCCTGATGCGTTGTCGGAGCCATCCGTCGAGATGCCTTTCTGCTCTCACGTGCGCGGCGCGCCAAGCCGGTCATGGGACCAGATACAGAGACAATCGCAGAAACAACACGAGACCGGGAGAGACAGAGACAGGCCTTGTGGTTTGTTGCTCGTTGTGTGTGAAACATACACGTCACGCGCAAATATGGTACCCCAAATCAATCACCTCGGCACCTAGAGATGCCTGGTAGGTAATTGTTTCAAGCGCAGAAGGGCTCCGGATGAAAGATGATAACGCTACATCTACACGGGACAACCCTTCTTCTCACGCTGAAGCTGTCGTTGTCAGGGACTCACCGACCAGACGCGTGTACTGCCGAAAGAGGTCCGTGTAAATGAGTCTATTCTCCTCCACGTCTTCGAACTCCCCTGTCGAAAGAAAACCGCAGGCATTGAGTGGTGAGTGTGAGTTGTGTTTTGCAAATACCGGCACGAAGCTCTAGCTGTATGGAGGGCAATGATGGGGGGGTGCGGGCCGATGCTCCTACGGTTGCATGATTATTACACTCAGAAGACGTCAATTTTCCGATTGGTTACCATTTCAACCCTCCTCCCAAAGACACCGGGCAGAGGCCAGAAGAGTCAGCGCTATCTGAAGGTTAGTCCAGGAAGATACGTACATCTTCGCAGCACACAACGCGAAGATTGGCAGGCATCAGGTTCTCTCGAGAGCACCACGTCTTGGGAGAAAAAGGCGAAAGACTTTCGCCACCCAAAACAGAGTGGCAACGAAACCGTGAAAGCACGGCAAGTTGTTAATTGTAGACACATTTGTCTTTTGTGGCGATATTTTCCCAAAAGCCACTTGCTGAAAACTCCGGCGATGGGGGAGCCCAGTAATGCTGCTTCTACGGTTGTACAGACAGTAGCGTAGGAGTTGTTGCGGGATGTACGCACCGCACCACTCGTCAACGAAGACTTGTTGAAGACTGGCGAATGCTGGGTCCATGACTGCTTCCTCAAGGGCGCCTACGATAGAATCGAAACGCTGATCCTGGAGAGGGATAGGTGTATTTTTTACGGGAAGGTTGGCGGTTGGGGTAGGAAGTTGGTTTGGGGGTTGGGTGGAGGTCAAGAAAAGGAGGTAGCCCGAGGCGAAAGTAAGATATGAATGCCACGATTATCTTCGTGTGATGCAGCGCAGCACAGTGGAAATGCGCCGGATGTCGTGATGCAGCGATGCACGTCGATGTTTACTCGAATCTGTACAAGACGTGTGTAGCCAAGTAGCAGTTACGTGTAGAGTACCCGGGACTATTTCATGATCCAGAAGACTGTAGTCTAGGAGTTGAGGAAAACAGTTGAAAGAAAAGAGACAAGAAGAGGTAAAAAGTGCACCGTGGCCAAAATAGCCACTACTGTGGTTGTCTTGCAGGAGACTCTCGTTGAGAGAGACTAGAGCAGACGCCACACGCGCGGAAAGTTTGGCAGGGGAAAGGCAAGGAAGGCACACGCGAGCACACATACCTCCTCCGACCCCTCATTGCTTGCGAAGGTTTCCTCCTCCTCCCCAATCTCGTCCATCTCCCCCCCTATGATCGAATACTCCTGGTTCAAATCAAGTTCTCCCATCGAGTCTGCGGTGGTTTGAGTATCAGCGGGACAAAAAACAGCACGAACGACGCAAGTTCCGCACAAGACCAGTTGGTTTCATCAAGACCAGCAGGTTACGAAGAGGGTGGGACTCGATAATAATGCACAAACAGATTAGACACACATTGCTATCACTTCGACAGCAAATATACCCTGTCTCAGTACCGTGTCTCTCAGAGTAACCCCCCCTCCCCCGTTTGAGGTTGTTTGGGGTAACCGGCAGTCAGTAACATACACGGAGATTCTGGAGGGCGGGGTTATGGTTTATACGTGTGACCCGATGAATAGGAAGACACGGAGCCCCCTGTGTCTTGGGTTCCCATGCTCACATCTGCATGGGTTCGTGCATGTCGACACGACTTATGCTCTTATGGAAGCACATCTACAGTATATATCTCCACGCGGATCGGCGGCTAGGGTGCTAACGTCTGGTCACCCACCGCACATACATACAGAGGTGCAAACCGTGAAGGTAGGCCGTCAAAACACATGTCGTCAGCCCACGAGCACCCGATGAAGCACGCAGCGGTACGCATGCGGAGCAAGTGGCCCAAGTATGGACGAGTCTAGACAGCACTCGTCGCCACCCTAACTTTTCTCGAGGCTCGGTTTTAACTTCTTCTGTGGGGAGTCCAACAACGATGGTACCTATATGGGTTTTGCGGCCATCCTGTTTATGATCCATCGCTTCAGTTTCCAAATTTTTCGACCGTGCCTGTCGAACTGAGGAGCTCCGAGCCAGGGTCTAAACGAAAGAGTTCTACTGCCGCAGGGCAAAATAAAGGTGAAGCTGTTTTAGAGAGAAGGGTCAGCCGTCCTACATTACATACTCAAGAACCAGCGCACTCTCCACTAGAAATATAGAAGCTGCTGGATGCGAACTCCCAACATAGTCGCCACATTCCCACACACATGCATTGTAGGTTTCGAGGTTGCCCCGAAGCAAGTTCTTTTCTTGAAAGAAGTACAATATAACGCCCAGGTTCCTGCAAGTAGAGGTGTGGGTGCATGTACTCACATGTGTGTAGCAGGAGGTTTTCCAGATGTATATAGACTTACCCTCTCTCCCAAATCTAGCTTTTGGACGAAGGACGAGATTTGACCCCCGTCTACGTCCCGTCACTCATTCCCCCTGCGGGCCGTAGGTATCTACGGTAGACTACAGTCTCTCTGTATAACGGACGGCACTTGTTTCGGTTGTCATTCAGCAAACATTTCCAGTTCTCGAAAGAAAACGTTGCGCATTTGCTGAAAGTGTGATGGGCAACTTAGCACCCGACACGAACCTATAATTCCGCCTCCAGATGGAGGTGCTCGCAGCCCACGTTGACGCGCGTAAGCCATGGGTGTGCTGTAACATGCACCCTCTGGGCGATGCGATCTTTGTGAGCCCCCCTCTCCTGTTGCCAGACTGTGACTTGATCGATGGCTCCTCTCTTCTACAATATGTACACGTGGATTCAGTGTCGAAACTTGCTGGGAGAAAATGACAGGGGCCCTTGTGCGTTGCTGTGGGTGCTGTCCACTGACTGCGGTCCACTGCTGTCCCCACGAACAAAGATATCACGTATGGGGTACAATAGCGGTTGCGTCAAGACGCGGAGATCTCGGAGATGTGGTGGGGTCCCGGCAGAGTGGGGTGTGTACTGTATACCCCAGTGATGCTGTGTACCATATCATACGCTTGCCGCTGCTCAGTGCTGTGATGTTGACCCATCCTTTCCCAGAACACACAGACCATTCGGTAGCATGATCACGAGAACATTGTTGCACGCGGGACGCGGCACGTCTGCTGCGGTGGGGCTTGGAGTGGGGCTGGGATTGGCGGCGTCGTTGTCTGCTCAACGGCAGCAGCAGGGTGCGCCTCACGCCGACTCCGGGAATACTCGATACGAACCGCCGCTCCCTCCGCCAAAGGCTCGGAGTTCCACCGAGCCTACTCTTCGTGAGGATGTGAGTGTATTCATGTGTTGCAGTGGTGAGCACGGCAGCGGTGGTGGGCATTTGACACGCTACGACCGGAGTGCAACGCCAGCGCTTTGCATCATGAAGACTCGTTGTGTCGTTGCTCCTCGGTGCCAAAAATGCGGCGGAATTACTACCCACCGCCTACCGTTGTACCTGCTGCCTGCTGTGGTCTTTGCCGTAAAGCGCAAACATGTGGTAGTCTCATTGTGTGCGTACCTATGCATATATCCTGAGCCCTGAGCTGCACACTAGTGCCTTTTGGGGCCCTCCGGGGGGGGGAGGGGGTACGGAGGTCTCATCCCCCCCCCCAAACGCCACATAATTTCCTATATTTAACAAGTTTATACTAAATCCTATATATAACGGGGGCACGTTTCATGCAAGGGGGTAGTACAATCCACGTAGCCCCTGCTCCAGCGTACCGCAGCCCGTAGCCAGCCGCGGTACCGTCCGTAGCAGAGGAGAGAGAGAGAGAGAGAGAGAGAGAGAGAGAGAGAGAGCTTGGGGAGAGTGGTCACGATGACATAGTCTCCGTGGGAGGGAGATGGAGGGCGAAGGCGCTCGACGCGAAAGCGCTCGAAGAAACGGCGGTTTAGTCTCGTTGAGGGAGGAGGTGGAGGGGCTTCGGGGAGTGAATAATAAGGTACAATGCAAGGCATTGGGTGTTGCACGTGGCGAAGGTGATGCCACCGCCGTAGGCTCATGGACAGCCCCTCTTCGGTATGTTGCCGGCTTGAGTAAGCTTGGAATGATGACGTTTCGGCACATGGGTATGTGTCATTTGGTTCTGGTGTGTCATTTGGTTGTTGTGTTATTTCGCCCAAGGTCAAATTTCGTGGACTTGTCGCAGAGGCTTTGAGGCGTTCTGAGTTACTTGTAGGTGAAAGGTTGTCCCCAAGCACTACTGCTGTACTTCAAGATTTTGAAAACCCAATTGGAAGTGGTCCCAGCCCGTCACAGTACCACTCACTCTGAGCCGAAATCTATGGGACATTTGACGGTTACCGGAATGTAAGGGACGTTTGGAGTTTGATATGTCAGACATGATTATAGACCGGAATACGTTAACAGCAATACTCCTACAACACACACATGATGAATGAATGTGATATGCAGCCCTGAAAAAAAGGGGATAGATAGGTCATTATCATCCCCCCCCGGGGAATAACGGGGGATGAACAGGATTTTTCTCCCTAACAAACTAAATAAGGAAAATTGACCCTTGTTTCAAAGTGCTCGTATGGGGCAAGACTTACATTGTATATATTTTGGTCATATTATTTTTCTGCTGGCACTCTGGCCTTCTACTTCAACAACATTTTTTCATGTTACACGGTTTTTTTCAACTCAACTGGCGAAAATGGGACAAAGGAAAACTGAGCTGCCACTTTGGGCGAAGAGAAACAAGCGAAAAATAAATAAATCGAAATTAATACAAAGTTTTGGGCGCTGCGCGCCCCCGTTATTTGAAGCGATATCAAGGCAATGTTTTCTCTGAAAGTGGGTGTAGGATGTTCTTAAAATGAAGGTAGGCACCGATGGCAGTTGATGTTTCCGTGAAGGTGGAGTTCCCATGATGGAGGTTCGTGTGTGATTTAAGGAGATGTAAAGGTCCATTATTTGTTTCCCATCGCCGTGCCCAGTACCCCTCCATTCTCTGATACACATCCAGAACTCAGAACTGCAAAAAATAGACAAAATTGTCGGCTGAACTGCGAATGAAGAAAGACAGCACTACCAATTTAACCCACTACTTGAACTGCAAAGAAAGAATAGCACTACCAATTTAACGCACTACTTGAACTGCAAAAAAAGAATAAAGACAGCACGAAGAATTGGACGCACTACTTGAATTATGAACAAATGAAGTCATTACAGTAGCTACAGAGGAGTGGGAGGAGTGGGCCGGGGTAGCCATCGAGAGTGGAGGTAGAAAGGAGTGTACTTTCGTATTTTCCGGACCTTTAGAAGGGATTATTATCGGAACCGGAGCACACAACACCGTTGCCGGAATCGGAACAAACAACAGACCATTCCGACGCGAGAGCGGTGAGAGAAAAGCAAAAAATTAGAGACAACGTGGATACACAGACACACACACACACACACACCGAGAGGAGAGAGAGAGAGAATACGGTACCAAGGTGATAGGAGGTGAGTGCATACCGTGTGAAGGTGTTAGAAGAAAAAAAAAATGTACAGCAGTAGCACACGGAATCGGAACAAACAACAGACCATTCCGACGCGAGAGCGGTCAAGAGAGAAGGCGAAAATGAAAAGAGAATGTGGATAGACAGACCGTCAGAGACATAGACAGACGGAGGAACGGAGGAGAAGGAGGCACACACAGAGAGGGCCGTACTTCGAGTGGAATGCGCGGTATGATGGTACAGAGCGGGGTGGCAGCAGCAGGCGAGAGAGATAAAAGCGGAAGATAAAGTGGAAAGTCCACCAAAGTGCCAAATTTCCAGAGGAAATGCTGCTCTGTGAGAGCCCGAGAAGACCGGAATAGAGCGCTCACAGACGCCGAAAGAAGCGAAATGAAGCGTTCTCAGAGAAAACTTAATTTGTAAGAAGACTATTTTGCTCCAATGGAAAAAAAGGTAGCTTTTTTGCCGGGCTCGAACCCGCCACCTACGAAATAGACGTCCAGTCAGAGATATAGTTCGGCTCAGGGCGGTAGCAATATACACCTTCCTGTAACAAGGTCCTGCGTGCACGTCGTGCCGTAAACACCACCACATTCAAGCACACGGAATGGAGAGGGAGAAAGCCAAGAGAGCCCGTATAAAAAAAAACAATGAAAAAAAACTTTTTTCACACCCCTCCCAGGGGGGAGGGGGGGATGGGGGTTAGGTGTCGGAGATAACTTTTTTTGTGCACCCTTGCAATTACTGATGTACGGTGAAAACACGGTAGAAACTGTCCAAGATAGATCTTCGAGTGAGACCGGCGTGCCCTCGTTGCACAAACTCAGCACACAAGTACGACCACCCTGGCGAGTTACAATACAGTAGCTTTGCCTTAATCGGTTTCGCTTCTTAAGTAGTGTTTTATGTTGAAGAGAGCACAACAGCATGGTGACCGAGGGAGAGAGGGTAAGCATCCGCGGGGGGGGAGGGGGGGGGCGCAGATTGTATAGCTTGCGTGCACGGCTTGCGTGCACGGCGAGTCTTCCACCTGTGTGTTCCGTGTACCGTGTACTGATGTGATCCCCCGCAAGCAAGTGGAAACGGGTGTGGTTTCGTAATGACAATGAAATCTGTGCATGCTGACACCAACAACGTCATGTTCGACCATATGGACACAGCAATCGATGCTTCTACGCCCGCTTGACAGGAAGAGCGGACGCAGCAAACTTGCAGTGTAAATAGTTCTGTCATGTGCAAATGTGAACCATGTGACTCCGTGCGATGGTGCAGTGGGAGAGCTCCCTCTTGTAAACGAAAGGGCTCCCTGTGTGGACGAAAGCACGCACGCGGTGAGGCCCGCTGTGCTGCTGTAGGCGAAGAAAAGAGAGGGGGAGAAAAAGTGCATCCCGTGTGAAGCAGAAGAGTGTGGCGACTCTCTCTCTGGTTACTGCTTAGTTTCGCGAGAGGGACTCGGCAGGATTGGCGCTCGAAGGGGAGCCCTCTCCTCTCTCTCCCACCTGGCTGTCCGCCTGTCCAAGAAGACGGTGGCTTGTCGCTCCGAACCTGAAACGGCACTCGGAAGTACTACTTTTATCACCATCATCTCCTTTGAAGAAATGCGGCTGTACTGCAGCGGGCATGGGGGCCTAGCTGATCGTTTCCGTGCAAACGCATTCCCCCGCCAACCCGCTCGGTGTTGCCGGCGCCTTGAAGTTGCGTGTCCGCCCACACGCTGACCGGCGCCTCAAACCACCGATTTTTTTAAGACACCACGCGTTCGTTGTCTTGGAAGGTTAGCGGAGTCAGCCGCCGCGTTCCTGCTGCAGCTCTTTGAAGTTTGGGTGAACGCTTGATTTATTTTTCTTGCTGTGCCGTTATTTAGTGTAGTCTTGCGGCAGCACAAGCAGGCTGTCGTTTTCAACACTTTTCTTTGTGTTTTGCGTTTCTTTCAACGGAATCCAGGTAATGGGGTCGTACGAAGACCGGATTCGCAACTTCAGCAGCGCCGAGCGAGTTTTCGAGTTCTTCGCTTCCGTGACCAATGAAAAGTGAGGAATGGGCAGCAGCATGGCACAAGAACGATAACGATTGTCATGAACAAGAGAGGTGGTATGCATTTTCATGCTTAGATTCTGAGACGTTGGTGGCACAGATAGAGGCCGTCGGGCAGAGAGAGGATACATCGGGAAAGTTAAAAGCGAGGTGGACGTAGGCAGAAACGGAGAGGCAGGGAGAGAGAGACGAACATAGAGGGAACATTGTATACTGTAGGTAGCGGATGCAGGTGGAGGCGTCGTGCTATCCAAAGCAATGCTCGTCGTGCCGCGATTATGTAGGCTGTACCTTTTTTGTTTCGTCACCCTGTGCACCTCAGCCACAAGAGATCTGTACAACCGTGAAACATTAAGATCCGATGGTTGTTAGGATATAATAGTTGTGTGGCCTCTCGTACTACTTGCTGTCCTACCGGACTTCCAACCCCTAGGGTTTCATTCTTCCCGCTCTTGTCGTTGTGTTTTTTATCTTGCGATGCGACGTGTGTACCCCCCCCCGCAGAGGAACTTTCATGACCCCTGCCGACTTCGCCCGGTCCATCACGCCATACCAGCACCGGATCGGCGAGAAAGTTGGGTCCGAGAACCCCAAGTACAGGTTTCAGGTTGGTCCTAATAAAAAAAGCAAAACATGTGAAAGGAGCGACGAAATCATCATGTCCTCAGACCCGAAGATAATCTTGACGGGGGTGAACGTCCCCCCCCCCCCTCTTCCTCTCGAAGATGTGTAGTCACTGGTCTAACAGCTAGAGCATGCGAAACATGAGAGTACGCCCCCCCTCCTCCCCACCCCGATCTCCAGACAACCTCAATGGCAACATTTTCTCGAACAAATCATGCTTGTTTTGGCTTGTGCAGGCGAAGCACCACGGGCCGACGGCATCGGAGCTGAAGGGCTACAAGAAGGTGCTCAAGGCCATCCTGGAGGACTCGCGGGTAACGCCGCAGGAAGTCAAGGACATGCTAGACGCAAGGGAAAGGTTTGGCAGTGTTCGTTCTCGAGTCTTTGTTTTTTTTTTCTTATATACACAACAAGTATTAATTTTTTCCACAGATAACATTCTCCGTCTTGCCCCGGACACCTCGACCGTTTTGCGACTGGTTGGATCGGTCGGGAGAAACGAGAGGGGGGGGGGGGTCGTGACTATCACTGCGTACCCCCCTTTTTGGAGGAGCTCATGCACGCTACGCTGTTGCGTGTAATGTTGGGAGTCCATTTAGCGAGTGATACTCGTCGAGCCAGGTCCTGCTCGAAAGCAACCGTACGCTTGTGTATTTCTCAAGTGCGTTAAATGTGCTCTATTGATCATTCCTTGTAAGAGTATCCCACCTACACTTTTTCGGTGTCCCGGCGGATATGAAGTATATCATTTCGTTCAGGGCACCCCTGCTTTTTCAGCCGGCGTTGTTGTTTTTTTTTGTTAAATAGTCGTTTTTTGTTTGTTCTAACGGTTTTTTTTTTTTTTGTGGTGGTTGCAGACGGGAAGGGATGGCCTTGGCTGTGTGTGTGTGTGTGTGTGTTTGTTATTAGCATCGACCGCGCTCACCGGCTGACCAATGAAATGACGTCAGTCTTAGTGCGGTTGAAAACACGAAATGCTTCTAAAGGCCACACAACCTAGGACCCTGTGACCGAACGTGATGGGGGAGCCTACGCTACTCTCTGGATTTAAGACGGATACCGTAGCAATAACAGAAGAAAACTTGACGCGTTTACGACTGCTGTGTGTGTGTGTGTGTGTGCGTATGTGGAGCTGTTCCTCTTTCATGTGTGCGGGGCGCAGGCGCGTAGAAGGAGACCCCCAAGACTCTACTCGCTCCTCGCACCCGGCAACTGCAGTCGTTCTAGCGCACAAAACAGAGCGGCGTTATCTGGGCGTGGAATGACGACGGCATTAGCTTGAGTCCAACAAGAGCAACAAGAACAGTCTGGGTCGCATAAATAACGACACCACCACCACCAACAACAACATCCACCAACAGCAACAACAGCAGCAGCAACAACAACAACAACAACAACAACAACAACAACAACAACAACAACAACAACAACAACAACAACAGCAACAACAACAACATCCACCAACAGCAACAACAGCAGCAGCAACAACAACAACAACAACAACAGCAACAACAACAACAACAACGAATCGCAGGTTCAACATCACCGCCGAGGCCCACCTGAGGGTGTTGGCGGAGCTGGGGGAGTCGCAGATGCGCCTCGACGCCCTCATGGAGGCAAAGGGCGGCATCTCCAGAGACAGGTGAAAAAACAAACGAAGAACATTCAGCAGTTTCTTCATGCAGAAATATCGCATGTCCCGCTCTTGTTTTTCGTCAACTTCTGTTGGATCTTTCGCCTACGTGAAGTACCATTTTTGGTGTTGCGAGAATGTCCTGTGCAGTACCGGTTGAAGTTTATTATTTGTCATAACTCGAGGCATAAATGAGTTTTGAAGACCAAGCACAAACCCTTGGGCATACTGCCGCCACTTGGCCCTTTGTTTTGCCAAGAATGGTGTCTCTGAGGCGTTTTGGCATCGGGATTGGGCAGAGGCCCCCACGAGATTTTTACCGAAGATGATTGTGTCTTGTATTTTACATTCATAGCGTTGTTTTCGTGCTATAATTATTCCTTCGTTTCTCCTGGGGCGTCTTGTGTCGGTTGTCAGGCTGCTGCTTGTTGTGGTTCGAGGAGTGCGCTATGGGGTGATCCGCGACGCGTGGGTTTTAGAAGTAGTCTTAGCACCACAGATAATACCGATAACTATCGGATGTCTCTCCACAAGTAGACGTCTTTGAAGCAGCGAGGATTGAGGTCAGAACTGCCGGGTATCGGACTTAGCTGAGCCTGGGGTTTCGAACCCTACAGTACACCAGTGATGCCGGTCGGAATAGACACACCGATCGGAGGAATGAATAGTGTTGCTGTTTTACACATTTTTCCTGCAAGTGTTCTCGGGGGTTGGCTTGCCTTGGAGTTGCAGAAGAAGAACGGGTATGGCGTAGGTGTAACTACCGTGTGGAGTTGCGAGCAGTGCACCGCCGATGGCAGGGACGACATCAACAACTCGGCGTATACGGCAGCAGGAAGGGCTCGAAGCTAAGAAACGTTGCTGGGAGATGGGGGGTTTGGGCTCTTACTTTTTCGGTTTTGGTGGCGACGGGGGAGGATGCCCCAGATTGTACAGGCAAGCTGCGCATTAAAATTCGATTCTGATTAATTCCGTGTGACGACATGACGAAGACCCCCTTCCTCTCTCTTGTCGTTGTGCTTAAACCTAACCCTGCAGCTTCTTGGCGATGGTGGATATGGACGGTGACGGGTTGATCAGCTACGAGGAATACATGCTCTTCCGCACCCTGCTGAGCTTGCCCCAACGGAAGGTAAGCCGGTAACGCCCATCACGTTCTATTTTACGGAGCCCATCCCCTCCACCGAGTTGTCGATGCAAAGGGTGTCGAGCTGACTGTTTTCCGGTGATCGATCTCGAATCGAACCGTTGAGGTCCTAAAAGGAACCTAACTTATAGCTCCCACGTTCGTCGGTCTTACAAAAGGCCGATTTACTTCTCTGGCCGGAAAGGCGGGGATGGTTTCGGTCGTATTTTGGATTAAAGATCAAGATTTCCACCGGGGGTAGGGCTGACTCAAACCCTCTCCATGGACGACGTGGTTTTCGGTCTGTTTGCCGGTCTGTCACCGAGCGCAGAGAGATCAATAGTGTCAACCACGTGCCTCAATGGCGATACAACCTGGCCAAAGCATACGTACAGACTTAATCACTCCCACCTCCCCCACCTCCTCTCATTTTGTTTTTTGAAACAGCTCCCCACCCACTCCTCTTTTTCTCTTCTCTCTCTTTTTCTCTTCTCTCTCTTTTTCTCTGTCTCTCTCTGTCTCTCTCTCTCTCTCTCCCTCTCGTGCGCGCATGTGTTTCGTTCTTTCCCGCTCGTTGCTGAATGTTGTTGGATGGGAGCAGCTATCGATCGCGTTTCGCATGTTCGACCGTGACGATTCCGGGGCTGTGGACAGCCACGAGCTTGAGTCCTTCATGCAGGTGCTTCGAGGGGAGACGAACGTCGGGAGGACGGAGGGGGGCACGAACACTGATGGCTTTGGCGGTGAGAGGGAAAGAGGGGGGGGGGGGGGGTACTCATGTAAACGCTTGCCTTAATCGTTAGACCGTTGGCCTCGCATCCCTACAATGCCGGGACGGAGCGATTCGCCAGCCCAGGTAAATAGCTGGCTTGAAGCTTGCTGTGTTTTGTTCGACTGACTCGCACCGTTCCTCTCCATGGGCGGCTTAACATTTTCGCGTGTGGCCAGAAGGTCGCCGCTCATCTCATCAAGACCCCAAAACCCGAGAGATCGCATGTAGGACAGCATAATAGTAGTTTTAACAATTGTTCTCGACACGGGTGCAACAGAATCGTACACAACACGCGCCGCACTCGCACGCCCCACGCAAAGTGGTCACGGCGTACGTTTGTGCAGACATGACGCGTTCATACGTTGACAAGCGCACCCACCCACCCACCCACCCACCCACCCACCCATAAAAACAAAAAAAAACAGACGTCGCGGACAGGCTCTTCTTCGCTGGCAACGGGAGCGGCAAGCTTACCCTTGAGCAGTTCAGCATGTTCGTGCGGCTTCTCCAGCGGGAGGCCCTCGTGATGCAGTTCAACCAGTGTGACGAGCGGGGGGACGGCATGCTCACGGCGACAGACTTCGCCAAGTTCTTGGTCACCAAGGTGTTGTTGTTGTTGTTGGTGGTGGTGGTCGTCGTTATGGCTGTGTGCGTGGGCCGTGTTGGACTCGTCCTCCAACAAAGGACCATAACAACGACCATATTGTAGAGGGTTTCGTTTTGTTTTTTTTTTCGAAAAAGTTCACTTAACTTTGTCTTCAACAGCACCGTTCCTGGGACCAGTCCCATCTATCCGAAGATTTTGCTGCAAACGATGATGTCACGATGTCACCATGAAGGGGTCTGATCAGCATGAACCGTGAAATTCACCAAAATATCCCAAATAGATGCTTTCATCGGGTGAAACCGTCGACACTGCGTGCTCCACAGCTAGCTCTGAGGTGCCTTGGCAGCAACCGAGATGGGTCTAAGTGGAGCGTTGTGAGCGTCTCCTGATAGAGACTCGATGTTTTTGAGCTGTAATGCAGATGCACCCAGACAGGGTGTGCATGGCAGCACACCCCACACGGCCGAGGGAGTATTTTCTTCTCCGTACCGGAGGAAGCATGAGCGATTGTAGCACAGGAGGAACGAGTGTTGCCACACCACCCCCTCGCCATTTTTCATGTTTTTAATTTTTTTTTGTTCCAGCAGTAAATTTTGTGACACCTTGAAAACGATGCTGTGACCTACCAATCCATGCGTGACGTTGTTTTTGCCTTTTTCTGCCTTTCCCTCCCAGGTGAACACGGACCGAAACATGTACAAGGAGTACATGCGGCGCGCGGAATCGGAAGCTATCTCCGACTTGAAGGTGCGCCACGCGGGAACGGTGATGGGAAACAGGGGGGGGGGTGTACTCATAGTCGTGCATGCCGTAGTCGTTAGACCATTAACCTCGCATCCCTACGAACCCGGGGCGGAGCACGCCGGATTCTCACCGGATCAGGCTCTCACATCACCAAGCGCGAAGCGCCGTGAGGTATTCGACGAGTCGCATGAAGGGTGAGCTGCATCCTGCTAAGGGTGTTCGGCATCATGTGCTCACTTCCGGGGTGGGGGGGAAGGGGGGGACGACAATGGGAAACGGGGAACAAGAAGCGGGGGTCATGTAGGAGGATGCTTAACGCGAGCTCCGAGAGGTATTATCTGCGTGGTTGCGGTGGGGTGACACTCGATAACTCGTTAGGGGTTAGGGGCTTGACGGGGAACGGCGTTGTTTGTGGGAGAGTGGTTCCTACGTCTCTGAAAGGGGGATGTGGTAGGGGGAACAGGAAACAGCTTGTGGGAGATCACTACTGCTGCTGTTGTGCTCTAAAACAGTTTTTTTTTGGCATGTGGTTGTGTGTGGGGATGGGTGGACTCTGCTGCGGGTTATGCGGGACAGCAGTCTTTGGGTCGTTTTGGGGTAAGTGAATCGTGGGGAAGGAAAGGGCACTTGCGAATGTTGCTGTATACGGTGGACCAATCAATAGCTATGAATGTTGCCTGGCGTCAACGAGACGAACCGTTTTTTTTATTTTTTGCGTCACACACCTCGATTTTGTTTTTTTCAAACATGCCGCATGCACTCTGACGGCAGGAAAGCGGTGGCTAACCCTAGCCGTTTAGCCTCCACGTAATTCCCCACCCTGACGCAACTCACGTGCGTTCGTACGTACGTACGTACGTTTGTTTTGTTTCTCACAGGTGGACATCTCGCTCGAAGATTTTCTGGCGTTTCAAGAGGTGCTGCAGCACTTGCCCGAGATGGAGGTGAGCCAACGAGAGACGCCTTCGGGGGCACTCACTGCCTTGCTTTGGCAAAGCTCCCGCCAACAACGTCCCATACACCTACGGTGGGGGGCCCGATTTAGCGACCCCTACAGTAGTGTCACGACGAAGTGTGGCCTGTGGCCGCTATTCAGGGCAGGTCGCTAAACCGAACTACTTCTTCTACCCATTATATGTTTAGCAGTTATACTACCGGGGTGCGGCGGTGCGACGTGGTTTTGTGGTCGCTAAACAGGGCATGTCGCTAAACAGGGGGTCGCTAGACCGGCCCCCCTACTGCTGTACCGAGTCACTCGGTATTTTTCTTGCAAGGGATGATACGTATAAACCACCACAGAAGGACTGACTACCCCGTTGTTATTTCTCAGAAAGGGGGGTGCTTGGAGTCTCTACACAGATACCGTCCAATAGCCATGAGGTTTTTTTGTTGTCGTTAGTTGAGCCAGTTGATGGCGGTCGATTTTTCTCGAAAGGAGCACTCGCGTAGAGGTACGTTCGCCGTCTGTGGAGGCAGGAGGCCAAGCCGTGGTCGACTCGCTGGGTCGTGTGCTGCGCGCGGTGGTTTCCGACGTACTGGGGGGGACGGTGCGTGGGTGACCGGGACGCACGGGTGTATTTGTATCGTGTGTGTTTGAATGCATATGGGGACAAACTCTTCCTCCTCCGTCCTGCCGCGGACAACAAAGCAAACATCGGTTGTTATCTTCCTCCAACCCCGGCCGATACATCAAACATCAAACGTATACACCGACAGCAGCGTAGACTGGCGCCAGAATAATTGGGGGCAAGAAGAAACACACGCACGCACGATAAACAGGAGCTTGTGGGGTGCAGCTGTGCGATACGTCCGCACATACGTACTAGGGGGCCCCGAGAGGTGACAGTCGCGCCGTGCGCGCGTGAGTACCACATCCAGGCATTTTTCTCTCCTTGCGTATGGCCAACGAGAGAGAGACGGTCGTCCTGGGGGGTAGAATCCGCCAGCAGCCAATGCCCTCCGACGGAGCTAACCGCAAACGTTAACACGACGACGTCTTTGGATAAAACATGCGGGTGCGGGGGGCGGGGGGGGGGGTCGTGTCAGGTGGCGATGAAGGTGTCGGGGAGCGTCGAAGGGAGAGGCTTGGACCGACAGGAGTTTGTCCGCGCCGTGCAGGCTGCGCTGGAAGGGGGGAGGTGAGGGTTGTTGGTTGGTGTTGTTGGTTGGTGTTTGGTGTTGTTGTCTTGACGTTAACAATCGTTCCGGCCTGTGGTCAGCACCATGAATCCTTGCAACTGCCCCCCAATAGGGGCACTACGAGATACTTATCAAAGAGGGTAGTAATATGAGAAGACCGAGAGTTTTCCACGGCTCGGTAGCATTGGGTGCTTGTTTTTTTTTTTACGTTGGCTTTGGCGCTCGCTCATCCTCTTCCTCTCAGCTTTGCGGCGTGCCCCCCCCCCCCCCTCCCGACTTTTGGCAGCACTTCTCTCTCCATCCACCCCTGCTTAAACTACCCCTTTGGTTGCTCCCCGCCGACGATGTCCTATTTATGTCGTTCTCAACAAGGCTGAGGCAGCAGCGAGCCAACGACCCGTTCCTCCTCAAAACCGTCCCCATGCGGACAAGAAAACGCGACGTGCTCCGAAAGATAATATTCAGGAAGCCTGGGCCGAAGAACAACAAGGCGGCCTCCAGAGGTAACCATACGGGTGTGTGGAGGGTTCGAGGAGGTGTAATGTGGCTGCACATGTCGTGTCAAGTCGTCGGATAGTGGTAATGGCGTCGGGGGCGCGATCTCATGCGCCGCGGTTTAGCCCATGCGTGTTTGGAGTGTGCACTGTATAGTGTTGCCATTTAGTTTCTTATTTGGTGGTGCACACGCCCAACCATAGCTATGGCGAGGGGGTGGGGGAGGGCAGCGACCTTCTACTGCGGAATTGACCTTCTTTTCTTGGTGTAGAGAGGCGGAATTTTACCTAACACACTTTGTTTGTGGGCGGTCTGGGTGTCGACATAGTTTCGGAACACAGCAAAGACAGACAACAAGCACGCTCGTCTCTTGATGTTTTAAAACTGCGCTTTTGTTGAGGCAAGTCGTCTACTTTCGCTGTCTGCCACCGTGCGCGTTTTCACCACGTACCATCGACCCTGTACCCTGTTCCAATCTCGCAGCGAATACCAAGGGTGGCGGCGGTGAGGTTGAGAACGCAGGGGGCTCCGCGGTTGCGGGGGGGGGGACCCAGGCGTTGCCGGCCGGGATCGTGGACACGCTCTTCGTTCTCCTGGATGTGGACGGCGACGGTCGTCTGGACCAGTCCGAGTTCATGACCCTCATGGAACGGCAGTCCGCGATACCCGATCCGGTGAGAAGGGAATCCGGATTTTTTTTTTGGTTACGACAGTGCTCACGCACAGCATTTCTGCCGGGTAGGATCAGAACGATTACTTTTCCGCGCAATTTTCAATGTTCGTTTTTTTTTTTGTCGAGAGTGTTTGGTTTCCGAGTCGGTACCGGTAACCACGGCGGGTTCGAAATCACTGCTTTATCTTTCAGCGTGAGGTGTATGCATTTGCTTGAATGGCGAACTCCATCGTAACAGACTCCGAATAACCTGCGGTATCAGCAGACTTCCGACAATTACAGAGGGTTTTGTTTGAACACAATGCTTCGAAGTAGATTGGCCACAGCACACAACACAAAGAGATTCCGGCAACTTGCTTAGCTGATGCGACGACGATCACACTGTCGACTTCCGGGTACCATTCTGGAGTGTCGCTATTCGCCCGGGAGAATGAACGGTGGGACCATTTATTTGTCTTGGCGTTGGTTGTCGAGCGCATCCAAAAAAAATTGTTTGTTCTGGATGGAACTGGGAAATAAAATGCGCGGTATTGATAACGGAAACAAACGTGGCAAATAAGTAAATACAACCACGCGAGACTTTTTACTACCCCGGCACCCCTGCCGCTCGCGCACACACACCCTTATCCCCCTTTCCTCACCCACCGTCCCATGCCCGCATGGGGTGCATCCGGTGCACGGGAATATGAATGACTGACAAGTATTCTCGTGTTTTTTTTTTTTCATCTCGTATTGTTTTTTTTTGTTATACAGCCGAGAACCCTAGGGGTGGTGGCCTTCATGCAGCGCTTGAAGGACTGCGCGGAAAATTCTCTCTTCTAGGCGACTACCGCAGCTCGGCGTGAAACGGTTCCGGTACCGAACGGGTACAGGCAAGAGGGGCGAGTCGGATGACGTCACAGCCAACCAGGACCGTGGTCGCAGAAAAGCGCCTACGGAGGGAGGCACGCTTTTTTAGGGTCTTCGGGGTGTTCTGTCAGGCAGAGAGGACATCTCTGTCGAGGAGAGGTCGGGTGAGCTGGCTAGGAGTTTGAGAGGGGGAGAATTGGACGAGTTGTACTATTTGGCAGAGAGAACACTACACCTCTGTTGAGAGCGAGGGTGGGCTAGCTATAGCAGTTTGAGAGAGCGAGGGGACCTGGACGACAGCAGGCTAGAGTATATGTTCGTAGGTGGTTTGGCAGGCAGAGATAACACTTATGTTGAGGAGAGAGAGCACGCTTGTTGGGTGAGCTAGCGATAGAGGGAGCCTTGGAGGGGTTGTTGTTCGCGGGGGGCACGACAGAGTGGATTTATCCACCAACAAAGCGGTGGCCGACCTGTCGGTGGGTTTGAAGGACCTTGCGGCCAGGCTCACTCTCCGGCTGCCGGGGGTCTCCTCTCGAAAAGGCCGTTAGCACCAGTGGGGAGAGAGACACAGACAGAGATAGATGTTGCTTCGGACAAAAACATACAAAAAGAGAGGTTTTCTTCTGTTGTTGGGGACATGTAGTTGTTGTAGAAAGAACGAAGGGAGCGACGAAATTCCGCTGGAATCATTCTCAGCGATTCGATGCTGCTGGGGGCAAGAATAAGGCGCGGAGACACCCAGGCCAGGGATACCGCGGCCGGCTTGACGGTGAATCGGGGACAAGCAGCTGCTACATTCAACCTCTGTTGTTGCCCTGCGCGCCCACATGCCATTCGATGCTGGCAACCCCTAGTAAGACCGATCTGTCAAGTCGGTGAATTATGATAGATGAGACGTCTCGTCGAGTAGACACTTACCAACGATAGATAAGAGGTTGCGTTGGAAGAGATTCAAGCTATTTCATG